CTGACCTCTCCTAGATACATTAGGTACTCTGCTATGATTGCTTCACATTCAGTAAACCCTGCAGCCATAAGGATCCATTTTAAAAAAATACTGGGGAAGGGGGGAGGGGTGCACCTTGAAGGTACTTTTACGTACTTAACCAGGTTATATAACATTACACCTTGAGACAAGCAGATCAGAGGTGAGTCTAGGGTACTCAATGTTCTTCCATAAACAATGTTTTGGAAAATTCAAAAATATTATAATCTTTGGAAATGGCATAACAATTTTGACAGAAGGCAGGCTAGGCTGAAGCATGCCTAGGAGAGCCATCAGCTGTTCCTGGCCGTCTATTTTTACTGGGATTTGTGAAGACAGCAGATGCAGTCCCTGAGCTCTCTCACTGGTACCATGGTCCTCACCACCACCCATCTCCCAGGGTTGGAATGCAAACAGTTGGAACTGTTGAGTCACTGATTTCAGAAACAAGTCACCAAAAGGACAGTCTTCACACCCCAGATCATAATATTGTACTTAGAGACATCCATGTTAGATATTCTCTCTACATGGGAGATTGAGAGAAATAATATTACTTGATGTAGAAAACAAATAAGAAAAAAATTAGATTTACAGTGGACTCACATACCCCAGGGGAAATAAGCCAGAGGAGAGCAGATTAAAAAGAAGCTTATTGTACAATTCATCAATTTCCTAGGCTCAGATGCCCTGACTCTGTCCCACTGAAATTACCTCTCTTCTGAGCCTGTCGCTTTAGTTTTCCTGACACACTGAGTAGTACCCCTGGGACCAAAGCTGTCATCTCAGAAAAGGCTTAAGGACAACTTCAGTTGATGCTCCCTTGGTCTATGTCACTATACAGCACAATCTGTTCTCAGCGGTCCCCACTGATGGAGACATGGTAGCAGTCCTCTTGTCCCTGCACAGCAGAATGAAAGATCTGCTGATTGACCACAACTCAAGCATCTGACAGCAGGGGGCAACCAAGGACATCTTCTTAGCCGGTCAGGAGAGGATGAGAGATGCCTGCACAGCTCATCTGTCCCTCTCCTCTCTGGTTGTTTTTCCTGACTCAGCCTTCACTCTGAAAAAGATTCCACTGTCTTAGGATCATGATGCCCCACCCCCTCTGCTGTAGGGTCTCTAATTACAGGGGCCTGCAGGAAGCTAGGTGAGTCTTCTCTATAATTCTAATTTCTAGTCTTCAATAAGCCTCTAGATAACTTAATCAAGGGCACTTTCTCTTTATAGATACTGGCCTCCTCTGATGTGCAATCATTTACCTTCAAGCAAGTGCATGAGTCATTTTTGAGAACCATACTCTTAGGTAAGGAAGCGATGTAGTTTTAAGGAAAGAACTGACACTATTTTTATATAACTCACATATGACTACGAAAACTTTGGTTGATATCCTAAAATTTCCCAAAATAATAACAGTCCTCCTTTAAAGGAGGGGATGGAATCTTAACACTTAATGAGCATCTACTACAAATTAGAGTTGGTGCTGGGAATAGCATATATTTTAGTTTAAACACATTTCACCTAAAGGTGATTCTATGAATTTTCTCTTCCTTTTTTCTTTCCTCTCTCTGAAACTAAGATAGCTTCTATGCCCTAAGTCCAAAAAAAAAGGAGGGGGTATAATATGGGCAGAGGAGTTTCAGAGAGGCAGGAAAAGAAGGTGAAGGCTTTTATTAGACAACTAGAGGCCTGGTGCTCGAAATTTGTGCACTTGGGGGGGGGGTCCCCTCAGCCCAGCCTGCGCCCTCTCACAGTCCGGGAGCCCTCAGGGTATGCGACTGCCAGCTTAGGCCTGCTCCCCACTCCCCAGGGAGAGTGGGCCTAAGCCAGCAGTTGGACATCCTTAGCACTGCTGCGGAGGCGGGATAGGCTCCTGCCACTGCCACTGCACTTGCCAGCCATGAGCCCTGTTTCTGGATAAGTGGTGCTCCCCATGTGGGAGCGCACTGACCACCAGGGGGCAGCTCCTACATTGAGCGTCTGCTCCCTGGTGGTCAGTGCATGTCATAGCGACCGGTCGTTCCACTGTTCAGTTGATTTGCATATTAGCCTTTTGTTATATAAGATGATGGCTTATACTTTACAGTCTGAACAAAGAAAAACACCTTCTACATTCCTCTCTATATTCACAAACACACCCAACTCCTACACACAGAAAACTAAACACCTCTCAGGTACATGCTGCACTCAACACACCAATCTGGGTCCTTATTGGCCCAGGGGAAACAACACTGGCCTTGAAGTCTCAATCTCATCCCTGCTACTGGCTAGCTGTGTGACTTTGGGCAAATCCCTTAACTTCTCTGAGCCTTTTTCAGTTTTTTCATGATTAAAATGCCAGTTCCAGATGGGTACTAGACCTATAAGGGTGATCACTTCACAAGTTAGGCTTAAAAGTCTAATCACTAGTGTAACTAAAAAATAAAAAATTTTAAAATAACAAATAGACTTAACTGGTTTGGCTCAGTGGATAGAGCGTGGGCCTGTGGTCTGAAGGGTCCTGGGTTTGATTCTGGTCCAGGGCATAAACCCAGTTTGTGGGCTCGATCCCCAGTGTGGGGCGTGCAGGAGGCAGTCGATCAATGATTCTCTTTCATCATTGATGTTTCTATCTCTCTCTCCCTCTTCTTTCCTCTTTGAAATCAATAAAAATACTTTTTAAAAAATAAAAAATTAAAAAAATGCAGGTTATAACACTTAGCTCATGAAGTGTTTACAAAATCAAGTCATATAAAGTAAGTGAAGAATTTTTAATCATTATAACACTTCCCTAAGGCAAACAAATTCTGTGCTTCACAGAGGAAAAAACAGGTTTAAAGAAACCAAGTGATTCATCCAAGGCCACACAGGAAATAATCAGAGATGTCAGCAATGAATCCCATCTGACTGCAAACGCTCGGATGTCCAGGCACCGCTTCCTTCCCACTGCTGCCCTGTCTTTGGGCTCCTGGACACAGAAAGGCTTTCCAGTTACGTCTCCTCCATCCTGCTCTCAGGACCTTCTCCACTCACAGCCACTTGAAGCTAACCAAGCAGGCAGGTGGGTTGGTTTGCTGGCAATAAAAATGTCACCAAAGCATCTGTAAGTCTGAAAAGGAGGGACAGGATTTGGAAAGCACCGTGACTGCATGTGGCATGCCACTGGACCAACGGCTGGGGGGGTGGGGGGGTGCACTGAAGTTTAGGAACTGACAAGGTACTAGGTAGGTCTATATTTTGAAATTTCACTCTTTTTATCATTACTGACCCCCAGCAAGGGGCTTCTTATGCGCGCAGATTTTGTCTTCACCCTCCGAGCTGAAGTCTGTGAGGTAGGCACAGAGTCTGCGTGCGCCCGGTGCCGTGGTTAAGCTCGCAGGGCACACCGAGTGCTGGCTCCCAGTCACCTGTACACCAGGGCCTTTAAAGGGCCGGGCCAGGCAGGTGGAAGACAGCGACTTTCAGGAAGACAATGAGACGCTGAACATCATTTTCTTTTAAAATGTCAGGTAAATCCTTTCTGCCAACAGAAATCCAGACTCTTCCCATCTAGAACCTCCACCTAAAGACAGAGGGTGAGTGAAGGAGGAAAGCCACTGAGAAGGGGCCAGGAAGCCCTGAGGCGGAGAGACCTGGATATTTCAGTACGATCAGGTTTCATTTCATTAAGTTAGTTCTTCCCATCAAAATCCTGTTTGGTGCGATCATCTGTCTGACTTGCTGATCATTAAGTGGCAATGCTAAGTGACTTTATTATTGGATCACACAGGGCCTGGCTTCCCCATGAGTTTGTATCTATCAACTCTAGTATATGACAGTATCAACTATCCCATGAAAATGCACTATTAGCCTAACATTTGTTCTAGTATTTTGAAGTCACCTTGTAAATTCAGTTAGTCAGCATTCCATATCCCAAAGAAATAAGAAACAGACCCATTATCCCAAGAAAAGGTCCACCGGAAATACAAAAGTGGGGACATTTTCCAAAATGTGTATTTCTGCTACACTTGTCTCTCAGCTCCACATCCATCCATCTAAACTCACTTCTGTTCAATTAACATCTATTGGGCACCTACTAAGTTCCAGGCACTGTGCTAGGCAGTAGTGATGCTGGGGCTGGGATTCTGCAAACACATTTCTCCTCAGCCACCAGGTTCCCTGTCACACCAGTAGGGGGTGCTAGAGGGAGCATGAAAGGCTTAAGGATGGAGAAGAGACTGGTTTTTACCTCTTCCTGTCAGCATCACCCCAATAGCAGCTCCAGTTCCCAGCTTTACTTCACACGCCCAGAACCAGCCTCATACACCTGGCAGATGCCAGCGCCGACAGAACAGCGTCCTCTCGAGGGCTCTGAGTTCCAGCTCCTCGGGGCCCTCTTGAGCTTCTTTCTACCTTGTGATAACCCCAGCTTCTTCCTTCTACTCTCCTAACCTTGGGGATGGTGGCTGCTTCCTATGCCACCACCGCCAACCCCATGCTCCCCATTTACCTCTTTTGTCCCTCCGTATCTGTCATATTGATTTTTGTATTAGCTGTTAAAATAACTTATGTAGTTTCTATTTTGCTGACAAATACAGTGCAGTTGGGAGCCACAACTTTATTTATAACAGTGGTCAAAAGAACAGACTCTGATACCAGTCACACCTGCAGGGAAATCCCAATCTATTTATGTAGTACCTGGTAATTGTGAAAACTTTAACTCATCTCTCTAGGTCTCGTTTTCTCAATCGCTTTCATTTATTCAATTAACATGTATTGAGTGCCTACCACCTTCCAGGCACTGTGCTAGGCAGAGAGAGCTAAATGTTATGCAAAACAGTAAAACTCCCTGACGTCCTGGGGCCTTCTGTTGTGTGAATCAAATGCGACAGCACAGGTAAAGCACTCCTCAGCCTTCCTCTCTGTACCAGGACGGGAGAGCAAAGGCCAACAGATCTTAAAGAAAAAAGTGTCTCAACAGCTAGGTCTCTCAGAAAATGCAGCAAGTGTCCCTTCCTCCATAAGGCTGAAGGTCTCAGTCAACATAACACCCGGGCTTCATCATATGCCCTGTTCATTCCTCCTGTTGAGAGAAACAACGACCTGTAGCAGCATTCACTCAGAAGGAAATGGGACAGACAGCCATAGGGAGGTAACACTACAAGTAGTTTTGTTTTTTCTAGAATTCCCACGGAGACAGTTACCTGTGATTCAAGGAAAGAGCAACAGCAACTGCAATGCAGGACTGAGACCCAAATGACCATGACCAACGGGTGCGAGTAGAAAAGATACTTTTCTCCATAAAGAAAATATGTATATATGTATATACACTCATTGATACGTACATATCAAATAACCAGAACTTACTTTTTGCTTTCTGCAGTAAGACTGTAAGCCTAGAGAGGCCAGGGAAGTGATGAGATGGAAAGGAAAGATTCCTGATTCCATTTAAGCCTGAATGCAAGGGCCCCAGGCTGTGGGCAAGGAAACGCTGGAAAGAAATCCCATCTCCACATTTTGACATAATCATTCCCTGGTCTTCCGGTGTCTAGACATTAGGCATATCATGGCAATGATGGCCAGTGCTCTCATTAGCGAGGAAGTTGTTTCTGCAAGATTCCTGTGGAGCTAAATTCTTGAAAGCCATATCTACAACAATTGGTATGGCTATAAATGCAAACTAAACTCCTCACCCTCAAATTTTTATTCATTTTGACATCATTATGACCATCAAAGTCATTCTGGAAAAAAAAAGAACACCATGGAAAATTATTACTAGAAGGTCAATTTTGCATCCTTGATCTAGGGCCTCATTATAAAAAATGTACTGTCACTGAAGGAAATTAGTGTTCCATAAGACATGCAAAGCCTGGAAAGGGTTTAATTCATAAATAAATGCCAACATTTAAACAATCAAGACAGTTTCAAACTCCAGGACTATTGAAATGAACACTACATATTGCCTGGATGCTCTATAGTTCCACTGGGAATATAATTCAATTCCACCTGAAATCATATGGCCAGGCCCAAGAGAAGAACTTTGGATAAGAGGTGATAGTTCTGTTTTTCCATTAGAAACAAATTATTATTTCTGTATTTAGGGCATCACTCAGGCAATTCCTTTCATGACTTATAGTACTCTTGGGCAATTAAAAACAATTACAAGATGAAAGAAGTAGGGGACAAATGTCAAATTCAGAACAACCCACGGAAGGCTGAAGAACCCCAGAGAGCACTGCTGTCTCAGACAGAAGGCAAAATCATCCCTTCTGCTCAAGAAAATATAAATGAGCAGTGAGTGTGCATCCCAGCAAGAACATTATTACCCAGCAGAGGCAACCTCCTAAATACACACTTCATCTCCGAACAAGCCTCCTAAGAGGAAGTGGGAGCAAAAATGTTCCTCCTGAAGAGGAGAAATATCCCCTGGGAAATGTCTTCACCAGGGCACATGGCCGCCTTCCCTCTCATTCCCCTCACCACACTTGTAGTTACACATTCTTAGACTTGGCAGATGATGCCTAGCAGTGGCCAGGGGCCCTGGCATATCAGAATAGCCCCTGCATTTCTGGGCTTACTTACCACCCAGGCCATTGTGATGACTGTAGTTTCTTTTCCCCAAAATGCTCAGAGTCGTGTGATTCGGGGTGGTCAGCATCCGCTTGGTAGTGGGAGTTTGTAGAGTTGGTGTAGATCGAATTACATTAGGTTTCTTCGAAGGATGGATCTCTGACAGGGGGAAAAAAAGGTTTCTCAACTCAGAACATGGTATTAAAAATCTGTGTGGAACTTCCCTGGTTAATAGGCACACATCTTATTTCTTAATGAGCTGAGAGTCAGTTCTTTAGGAGCCAGCCTGTTTTCCCAAGGACTTGCATAATTAATCAGCTTCAAGTGCTGTTACCATGACTGCTTTCCTTATCAAAAGTGAGCTGGTTCTTTCCTGCTAACTGGAGCTCTAGCTTCATGTTGTCAGTACAAGCAAGAAAAAGAAAGAAAAGGAAAAAAAAAACCATAGAAGGTCACTTAAATACAAGCTCTACTAAGGGAATAATAAGGCATCTGACTCTTCAAGGTATTAGCAATCCAAAAACTATCTGGAGAGGTAGCCTCAGAGAAAAACCACCTCTGTGTACTATCAAACCAGTCTTAGCAAGTACCCATATCTGGTGCACAGAGCTTTCTGAAAAACAGGGTTCCTCCTCTGGTTCTTCACCCAGGGTATGGGAACCAGGGCCAATCACTCCCAGCCCAGAACATATTGATATACATGAAATCTGACACCAAACTCCAAATACTCGAGTCAAGAAGCAGAAGAAGAAAAGAGGATATATCACAAAACTATAATGTGCACGTGGTATATGTGTGTTTAAGTGAAGCATGTTGTTGTCAGGCACACAGCCCAGAACCACTCATTCACTTTTTGGACAGAGTAGAGGGACAGCAATTGCAATACTGTAGGAATTAGAATTTAAGGACCTCAGTCTATTACTGATACTGAACAACCTCTTCTCCAAAGCTCAACTTGCTCACTGATTCTGAGTTAACACCCAGTGTGCCAACCAGGGTGAAAAGCCACCCTTCTTTTCAGGTGAGGGCCAGGATAACAGCCTCATTTACTGAAATTGGGAAGAGCCCTTAGCATTATTAGAATTACTGTATCTTGTTCTGGCCAAAATCCTACATTTGTCAAAACTGGATCAAGTACTAACCAAAATATGGCACTGATTTTTTTTCCAAAATAGCATTGAAGGTCTGCTAACCTCATTTTAAAAATATGTATTTCTTATTGATTTTTAGAAAGAGAAGAAGGGTGAGGGAGAGAGAGAGAAACATCGATGTGAGAGCAAAACATCCATCAGCTGCCTCCAGCACACCCGCTATGGGAGATCGAGCTCGAAACCCAGGCAATGCGTCCTGACCGGGAATCAAACTGGCAACCTTCCGGTGGAGGGGATAACACCCAACCAGCCACACCGGCCAGGGTTGCTAACCTTATTTTTTATTGCAACCTCCACACTCTATGCTCCATCCAGACCAGACAAACCTGCATTCCCTGAGCTTTTTAGGTCCTTGACTCATTGAGGCCTTTGTTTACCTGGTTCTCTTAGCCTAATAAGGGAAAAAATATTATTTTCCTGTTTTTCAAATCCTATATATCTTTCAAGGCTGAGATCAAATATCATTTTCTTCATGTAGGCTGCCTTAACACTCACCAGAAATAACTACTCCTTCCTCCAAGTGCCCCATGCATACTACCTGTAATTCCTTTACAGAATCTTTAACTGTCTTAACCTGTATACTTTCCCCAGTAGACTAAGATTTTTGAAGGCAAGGTCTTACTCATCTGGGTGTTCCCAAACCACTTAGTATAGTGTCTTGTACATAGTAAATACTCAGATATATGTTATGTAGGGATATAATTCAGCTAGTAGGACAACTCAGCTTTGAGCATATCTGGGAGAAACCCACACCAGTTTATCCACAGGAGGGATACACAATTACCTGTGGCCAACTAATGTGCAATGCCATATTCTATTTTCTATGATCAGAAACTTTGCCTTACAAGTGAGAAGGGACTTCTAGGATTAGGTCTTGCAAGGAAAGACAGAAAGCCAACCTCAAGGATTTAACCTCCTAGGCTATGCCTATGATAACCATGTGATATGCTCAGGGGCTATCAAAGCAACTCTTTAGCCCCTGAGGAATAAAACAAGAAATAAGGTGGCAGACTAACATCAAAGAGGGAGTTGTGAGCTTCTGACTGCTAGCATGCTCAGTGAGGACCAGATAATATACCAGGCTCAAGGCTACACTTTGATTTAAACGACTGGCTGTCTAAAGTTTGAACACTTCCTAACTACAAATTCTGACAGAGCAATAAGGTTCAGTGCAACTCTGACTACATATTTCACTTTTACTGAGAAAATGAGAAGGCAAGAATATTAGAAATATGCCATTATAGCTTCTAAGTATATTAGGAACGATTATTTTGCAAATTATCTTAAACCTTTGCCAAAAAGAAAAAAGGTCATTGCCCAGTAATTTTTTATACTATTGTTAATTGTGATATTTCAACATGTAAATGGAACCATCATCTTTGGCAACTTTCAGAAAGCAATACAAATGCTCCTCTTTCAAAGTAACCTTAATTGGCATATCAAAACTATAATTTTTTTAAGGTAGCTTAAAAATCAGTTTTATCTTTTTTTTAAAAAGGTAAATAAACCAATCCTTTTCTCTCTATTTAAGGGAAGGAGTGAGGTGGACTGAAGTACTAGAAGGATCGAAATTATAATATTAAGCCCAGCCAGTGTTGCTCAGTGATTGAGCATCGACCTGTGAACCAGGAAGTCAAGGTTCAATTCCTGGTCAGGGCACATGCCCAGGTTGCAGGCTTGATCCCCAGTAGGGGGAGTGCAGGGGGTGGCAGAGCAATGATTCTCTCTCATCGATGTTTCTATTTCTCTCTCCCTCTCCCTTCCTCTCTGAAATCAATAAAAATATATTTTTAAAAAATAAATCTACAATCTTAAGACGATTCATTCATTAATAATTTAATGGTTATTTTCATTTTGTTGCTTAATCTGTATTTATATACATAAGTGTACACTATATTTTTATTCAATGACTTTTTTGGAAAAAGTAAACAAATCCATAATTGTGTCTGTTGTGTATATTTTGGCAATAAAAAAAGTTTCTAAAACAAGATAAACTGACTCTACATACGAAGGAATCCAATTTCAGCTATTCAAAAGGCTTGAATTTAGTTGAGGTATGTCAATTTAGGATAGCCAAATATTTATAAGATACAGAAATTGTTGAGGTTTTTCCCTCTATTAGAAAGTACCCACCTAAATACCCAATGATACATGCCAAAGGTTTCCTGGTGCTCTTGCTTTTCTGGGGACTTCCAGAGAGTTCAGCATGTCTGTCTGCATCTGAGGAGAGAAAGAAACATGGAGACAACCAATGAGGCCGTTTTCTCTTCCTACACTACATACACCACAGAAACAACAGGTGCAAGTGCAAAACAGTGCCAAACATCCCCCAGATTCCTGTCATTTCCTTTCGGGTTTCAGAAAACCATTTGAGATTCTGTGCGTGCCCATCTGAAAGGCAGTGGGAATATGCTTCCTTTCTAGCCACGGCTCTTCTACATTAAAGCAGAAAATTTTCCATGAAGTACGAGGCCGAGTCCATCCTGATGGAAGATTAATCTGGCATGGAAGGCAGAAGTGACAGCTGATGAAGGTAACTACCCCCCTGGCCACCCCTGACTCAGATGGAGTGGTTTTCCACTGAGGAGCACTTGGTCTAGCTTGGTGACACTCAATTCCGTGAGATGACAGCCTCACAAGGACGAAAATGGGTCATCTGGTTTTATCACTGGTTTCCTATCCTTGTATCCCACCCTGATGACATTCGTGCTGAGATTTAAAAGGTCACCTGTATGTAGAGTATTTTATCTGCTAATCAGAATCAGTAAGGTACTGTGAGGACGGATATTAGTGGATAAGAGCTCACAGCACACTCCTCATTCCCTGCCGCAGACATTTCAGACAGAGAAAAATAAAGCATACACCATGAACACTCTGCATTTTAATGAGCTGTCATTAGGACAGAAGAATAGATGTGGAACCCGGCTGCCTCTCATACCAGAGTTGTTGTAAAAATAGAGTTTGAAGGGACAAAAAAGTGTATTGAAGTTGTTTAAATTTGCATATATTGTCATAAAGCTTAACAGAGTGGCTCTGGCAGGTATGATTCTATATCTATGCCTTTTCCCCACCTTCAAATATTGGACAAAAATGTCCTACAGGCTTTCTGACTCAACTTAGAGAATTTGCTCTTTCACAGGCTGAGGCCACATTTCTAGGCATACATACAAGACATTTCCTTTGACATCCATAGGAATTCTCTGTACTATTAAAACATACAATTCTATCTGGAACCTCAAGTAAATTAAAGTTAAAAAATTAACTTTTTCATAAGCTCTGGCCCTCTCTTTCACTAAGGAAACTCTTTTCTAATAACAAACAGTAAAAGGTGGGAAAACAGCATTTTAAAAATATGAAAATAGACAAAGTACATACTACAGAGATCCTCAAATAGGAATCTGAATATGTATCCCAAACACTGGCTAATTATGAAACCACTGACAACTATGAAGATTCCATTTCTTTTTCTACTATTCAGCTGATTTCCTCTGGGGGGAGACTTACTAAATTATGAAACTTTTCACCCATCGTTAATAGCGAAGATACAGGTGGAAATATAATCACCATGCTTTGGAAGAGTAATCTAAATAAACATTAAAAAGCAGCCCAAATCCTACAAGGATCAAACACCTGTCAAATCACTGTGAACCAATACTAAATAATAATTCCTTCCTAATATTATTAATTCTTCCGAAGTTCTATTTGGGATGAGGACAAGAGAAAAATTTCTCCTTTCTATTAATAAAACTTGAATGAATCCCCTTGTTTATCTTCTCAGTGTACTAGACAAAGGCAATCGCTATATCACAATTACTAGCGATTAGACTAACTTTGCTCTATTCCAGTCTATAAGGCCCAAAGGAAAACTACCAGTGTGGCTGCAATCGATGGACTCCCCTATAACCATCACCCTGACAAGAATCAACAAATCCATCAAAGGGGTCACCAACACAATACCCAAAGATATTTCACTTTAATGTTTTTAATTCCTCATTAAGTTAGTTAGAGTAATTATGTGATGTTCCAAGTGACAATTTACAGAGCACCTGAATGGGGGATCAAAGCTCTTAAGAAGGATCCATATTTCACTAATCCCACAGGAATTACCAGTCTCAACTATAAAGAAATTGGGAAGGTGCTAAGACTATGAGCTGCTGTTTAACATAAAAATGGCAGCCATTCAGTGATATATAAATGGGAAAGATACATTCCACCCTGAGGGAATGATCATAAACATAGGATTATCAGGTCTGCACTTGAGTTGGTTAAGTAGTAGAATCTAATTCCAAGTTGAATTAGCATCTTCGAATAAGACCAGGCCAGCGTGAGTCAGTCCTCACTCCCAAATTATTCTCTTAACTATTTAAACAGAGATCATTCATTAATGTGCAGTAAAAGTGCACAGATAAAGAAAGCGATGTGACAAATGCCCAAAGAACCCAGAAGGAATCAGAATCTGCCCAGAGACAGGGTGAACTCCGCATCTCACTCAAGTTACTGGACTGAACACAAGGCACCTGTCACTGGCTTCCAAGAGGATGCTCTACAGCTCCTTCAGGTAAACCTAGAAAAACACTGTTAGTTTTATTGCAACTGATGGCCATTTTTTAAAAACTGCTTTGGGAAGATTAGGGGGATAAATGAAATGGAAAAACTGCAAAAAGTAAACATCGAATCAAAATTCACAAAAACATCTCACATGGGCTTTCGAGATCGCTGTCAAAATAAAACCATCCACAGAATTTCCTTTTAGGAACTGTAGAGGCATTTCTAAACAAGATACAAAATATAGGTGCCATTTAAAAAAAGATAAATTCAACTACGTTTAAAAAATCTATTTGGCAAATACATCATAAACAAAGTCAAAGACAAAATGGGGAAATATTTGCATCACATATCACAGATGAGCTAATTTCCTTAAAATGTAAAAAGTTCCCACAAATCGAGACTTTCATCCACCAGAAAATAGGCGAGGGGCAAAAACAGTTGACAGAAAAGGAATGTACAAATATATGCAAAGATTTCCATCTCACTCAAAAAGAGAAATGCAAGCTCACATGTCACCCGTCAACTAGCCAAGCGTTTGAAAGATGCACCGCTGGCGAGGTCCTAAGAAACAGGCATCTCTAGACACCGTGGGTGGGAGTGTAAATTGCACTTTTCTAAGGGCAACTGGGTAGCAACTATCAAAATTCAAAATGCATGTTCATCAGTTTGAAATATCTATGTAGGGATATTTGTTGCAACATTACTTCTAATAGAAAATGGTTGGAAATAGCCTAGGAATTCTTAGGCTAATTAACCTAATTAAATTTTTAAAAAAGTAATCCAGAATACCTCTGGATACTTTAGATACTGGTAACAGCGGTTACCTCTGTAGAGTAGGATGGGATCGGTGATGAGATTTGTAACCACTTTTGAATCTTTAGAAAAATTTGAAGTATCCATTCAGAAACAAATTTTATTACCAAAAATACCAAAATAAAAAACCCAACTGTTCTCTCCTAATGTTAGAGCTTAAAATTTCACAAAAGTTTATACAAGCAATAACTTTTGCTGAGCCACCTCTAGAAAAAAATCAGCAAATATGTTACAAATTTCTTATGAATATGGGGCCTTGGGATAATTCCAAGTTGAATTAGCAACTTTGAACAGGAAAAGAAATATGGCTCCAGGTGCCTCTTGAACTTCATTGTGGGTATACTGCTGTTATTCAAGTCTGGTATGCTGTCATCTCAGAAACCACTTACTGACCCTGCAAGCTACAAAGGTGGCAGGTAAATCCTTTGGATCCACTTCTCTAAGACCCAGCTTCATTGAACTACAGGATGCTGCTAATGCACCTACTTCTTCCTCAGTCTCCGAGGATCCTGAATCTCAAATAGTAACCCTGTGCTCAGCTGGTATCAGGTGATTTTACTGAGCTTTGACGAAGTCACCTGATAACTTAATGTCTGATGGCAGTATCAAGGGAGGAACCCCATCATCACATCGTGGTTTTACTGAGGGGAGGGGCATCAAAGGGGAGAAGGGACAGGCTAATCTGTCTGAAACTTGATGCTGTTAAAACCATGACATCAGTCTGCAAATCTTGTGAGACACAGTACCTTTATGCAATGTCTGGTTTGGGGTTTAGCAATGCATTTTTTAAAAAATGTTTTTATTGATGTTAGAGAGGAAGGAAGAAGGATAGCAACATCAATGAGAAACATCGACTGGATGCTTCCTGCACCCTCCCTACTGGGGATTAAGCCTGCAACCTGGGCATGTGCCCTGACCAGGAATTGAACCAGGGACCTCTTGGTTCATGGGTCAATGCTCAACCACTGAGCCCACATTGCCTGGGCTAGCAATGCATTTTTAATAAGCACTATCTATATGGTAGAACTGGCTCAGGTATTCTACTAATTTTAGTAATTTGGGGCATGGACTTATATATTCACACATAAAAGTATATTATTAAAATGAATAGATATTTGGAGAAACTGGTTTTAAAAAATCATTTTCCATATATCATATATATATACTTAAACATGTTGGTCATATAATATACTTATTTGCTTTTAAATTATTTAAAACAGAAACTATATTCCTATGGTTCAAAATTGAAAGTCTGGAAAAATGAAGTGAGTGGTGAAGTCTCCTTCCCAACACCTTTCTCTCAGCTTTCCAATTTCCCTCCCAATTTCCCTCCCCACACCACTACTTACGTTTTCCTTGGGATATTTTACACATGTGCAAACAGATTCCCCTTTAAGAACTCGCAATTAAGAGTATGGTCTCCCCCATCTAATTGAGAGTTTAGCTCCCCTCTTTTTCAGTCATATGCTGTCTGTAACCCCATAAATTCTGTTTTTGATGGTGCTAATGAAGGGGTCAACTTTTATAGTGCTTATAAGAGGAAGATGCTCAAGTTCTCAGGGAAAACTATTTCCCTTTTCCAATATTATGATGTATTCTAAAATGCATTAATTAGAGCTCTTAATTTATCAATATCTTTAGAATTACAACCTTTTACCTGATCTGAAAGAACATTCATATTGCACCACAGTGATTAACTTTGTGAGGGGAGTAACAGGGTCACCATCGCCTTTGAGAAACCAAGAAAAGCTTATACCCCAAAATACACATACATTCTCACTGGACCAGAGACATGGTTGCTTACAGACACCAGGTTATTAACACCTGATCTTCTCACTAACAAGCCAACATCAAGGGACCTGCTGAAGAGGCTGCAATAAGGTACACATGAGGAAGATGATGCAAGAATCAATTATATGCTAAAATTACTGAGCAGATGCCTGCTGAAGCTTTATCATTTTAAATCTCAAGGTAAAATTAATTATTCTGAGAATCTAATTCTATATGTAACCCAATGAAGCTAAATACAAAATAAAATGTTCCTTGAATCTCATCACAAGTGACTATTCTCTTATTATTACTATCTATCTATGTTTGTAGAAATAAAATACAGGTAATTTAATCTTGACTTTTTAAAAGCACTATGGCCTTTCAATTGGGAGGGGGAGGGGATAAAATGAGGCGGCAGAAAAATATACTTCATTGAAGAATCATGAAAATAAACACAATTTGCAAATTCACTGAGTAATGAACAGAAAAGCCACAGGAAACAGAAGCTTCCTCAAGCAGCCAATTTAGTTGGTGATGGTTTCTTTTCCATTCATAGGAACAAAGATGATAATGGATCCCAGTCAACTTTAATGAAAGAATTTCATTCATTTTCTCAAATATTTTTCCTCTTACTTAAGAAATTATATATGTGTTTTAAATCAACTAAGCACTTTAGATGAATATAAATATTCCAGTTCCTTAAGATTGATTGTAAAAAGTGAAAATAGCATCAATCCCTCAACTCTGAAATGCTAGCAACGAAACATCAACATAAGCCTAAATTCTCAAATACATATGAATCTAATGTAGCTAAATTTCCCCTCCATGGGACTCAGAGATTACTATCAATTTCCACTCCCTTTACAAAGCACTTTTCTTCTTATAAAGCTTTTACCTGTACATTTTTAAAGCCTTTCAACTATCCTGCTGAAAATTATCTTTAGGAACAAAATGTTTTTCAATCATTATTCCTTTTATGGATACCCTCTTTAAATCAAAATGGGAACATCCTGTAGTAAGAACTTTCTTATCTCAAGGACAAAGAAAAAACATCTACTGAATATCTTTCCTATTTCCCATGTTAAGCCAGACAGCAAGTTTTCTTCTCATCCTTTAGGGAAAGTTGCATGGCTCTCACATGCTAGCCAGGAACGTGACCGAAAGGAGCATGACTAGAATCAGAGTTAACACATAACTTATGGACACATTTATGGGTACACGGTAATAACAGAACAATCCATGATTCATTCGTACATATGACCTTTGTTCTAACAAAAAAATGAAACATAAGCAAGAATGAACGCATTGCAAATTAGAGTAATTAAGTCATGTAAATGTCTGTGGAAATATATATGATATATGATTATGAAATGGAAACCAAATTGGACAATAGAAAGAATGCTCAACCACAAATTCGGACATCAGTTTGTAAAAACTAAATGTGTATTTTCAGAAAATTCACCCAAGACTTTAAAATTAATTTGTAATTTGCTAAATCTTCTAATAAATCTAGTGTTTATTATAAAGCGCTGTGAATTTCCAAAATATTGTATGATAATTGTAAAAGGTTCATGGGAAAACAATACAATTTATAATGACATACAATTTTTCATTAGTGTAAATTGGCAAATTTTATTCAAACCTAATGAATTCATGTAAGACTGGACTGCATGTCTCAGTTATGGAGTTTCACTGTACCACCACCCTGGGGGATACATTGTGACACTACCTTCCAGGTAAAAGTGCCTCAATAAGACCTATGTAGGCAATTCCATCACAAAGCCCCACTGGACAGGACCACCTCCCATCATCTTTTGCTGAACACTATGCAAAAAACTGCAGAGGTGGCAATGTTTTCTTTTCAGGTTGGCATAATGCAAATGGCAGCAGACAAAAACAATGTAAAAAAAAATAAACCAAATAAAAGGCTGTACACAAGAACTTATGTTTATTGCAAATAAAAACAAAACAAAAAAGAGAGCGGGAAAGAGAGAAAATGGTCAGAAGCACAACACATAAGGTTAAGAATTCAAAAGCATCTTACATTCTGCCCTAATGGCAGCATAATTAATAGGAACAAACGGCCGTCTCGCTGCCTGCCGCAGCCGGAGGGTATTTTTGCAGACCTGACGAGCAAATTTTGTGAAATATGTAGTGTGAAGGAAGAAAGCTTGGCGGGTCTTCACTGCAGACTTTGGGCTCCCAGTGTTGCGGACGGGCATCCCCTGCATGGCTTGGCGAGACATGTGGCTTCTGACACGGGGGTCCTGTAGAATCAGACACCAACACACAGGTGAAGAACAGGGCTGGTTAAAGTGCAGTACTACTGGCATCATGCTCAAAGAACAGTGCAGTTTTTAAATCTTCCACTGAAGCATCTATAACTCAATAGCCTACCCCAGTGGTCGGCAAACTCATTAGTCAACAGAGCCAAATATCAACAGTACGACAATTGAAATTTCTTTTGAGAGCCAAATTTTTAAAACTTAAACTATATAGGTAGGTACATTGTTATTAACTTAATTAGGGTACTCCTAAGCTGGCCTTTGCTAAAAACGTCCTCAATCTGATTGAGGTACGTTCGCTGAGGTCGACCCCTTCCAACTCTCCCATCCACACTCGTCTTGTATACTTGTTTCCGCTATCTTTTGTCACCTGCGCGCGATTTGGGGACGCGACTAGCACTAACCACTGCACAGTGAGACTGCTGACTGACTGGCTCACTCAACTCCTGCATGAATCGTGCGTGCCTGCGCCGCTTCTCCCGTCGCCCGACCGCCCGACCACCCGACACCCCCCACTTCTTCTAATGCCACTTCTTCAAAATAGACTTGCCCAGGCCGAAAACCAACTTCTGCGCATGGGCCATGAAGTTTCAATCGCACTGTACGAGCGCGCCCGCACGTGGTATTTTGTGGAAGAGCCACACTCAAGGGGCCAAAGAGCCGCATGTGGCTCGCAAGCTGCAGTTTGCTGACCACTGCCCTACCCCAAAGGACAAGATTAAAAATTTGTACTTTTGGAAAGAAGGTGGGGAAGTAGAGAAGAAAACTGGGTTTGGGGTGGGGGAGTATGTATGTGTTTTTAAATTGACCCTAACAATCCCAAACTATATTCATAATAGGTTTTTAAAAATATGCCAAGGGATTAGATTATTTTGAGTGTTGTTTAAAAAAATATTAAAGGACTCCAAGATCCTGTTAGTCCTCAAATATAATAGTCTCCCTCTAGTAGACCGGGGTGCTGATATCTGCTATGAGAATTTTTCCAAAATCCTATTTCAACTGTTGTTCACCTCAAGATTAAATCCACACCTTCTTGTGCCTCCTATGATAGCCAAGGAGTGGGGAAAAAATGTTCAAGTTGTTATTTTATGTAATAAGATACAATTTCAATAGTATCTAAAAGCTGCAAACCGTTTTCCCAAAAAAGCAATTAAAACAAACATTTAATCGGTAAACTTTCTACTTATGCTAAGGCCTCCCACACACATTGTTCTTTTGCCTCAGTAATCTTCTCACAAAACAAACACTGAATACCTGTAAAGATTGGATTTGTCCCTGCCCTTCGCTCCACCCTCACCCTGAATATTATGGTGCTATGTTTAGCTATAAAAATAGCTTTGTTTGCTTTTAAATCACCTAACACTGTACTTCTGTTTTCAAGGACTGATCCAGCCATTGAAAAATATGACCATCCTCAAGGCTATAAGGACTATTGCTCATGTACCTCTGTAGGTGGGCTGGGAGATAACTTCTCTTCTTCTGACTGAGTGGGCATTTTCAGGCCGCCATATTTTTTCCAATAGAGCCAACAGGTTGCACATAATCTACACTGCATATTAGGTGGACCCCAAGAATACCACTGATGAGACTGTGTAGCTAAAGATGGAGGAAAAAGAAAAACAAAGATGCTATAGAATTTGTAACATCAATATATAATCAAACATTTCAAAAAATATTCCAAAGCCACTTTCAGTTTACGTTATTTTTCTTCCCCCAACTTACAAACCATATATGAAAGTCTAATATCCTATATAATAAAAGGCTAATATGCAAATTGACCGGTGGAATGACCAGTTGCTATGATGCGCACTGACCACCAGGGGGCAGACACTCAACGCAGGAGCTGCCCCCTGGTGGTCAGTGCGCTCCCACAGCGGGAGCGCCGCTCAGCCAGAAGCTGGGCTCACGGCTGGCAAGTGCAGCGGTGGTGGCGGGTCCTGCCTCCACTGCAGTGCTAAGGATGTCTGACTGCGGGCCTAAGCTATCAGTCAGACATTCTCCAAGGGCTCCTAGACTGCGAGAGGACGCAGGCTAAGCTGAGGGACACCCCCCACCTCCGCCTGAGTGCACAAATATCGTGCACCAGGCCTCTAGTATACATATAGTTTTCAAGACTCAGAATTCATTAAAAACTACATATATATACCAAGTGCCTGATGACGTATCCTACATAGTATGTTGTGCTGCTGGGGGAGTTTTTGTTAATTACAAATATTTTCTATTGTGTACATTTCTGGAAACAAGCTATCAGAAAATTATTAATGCTATTAGTGTTTAAAAGTTTAAAGCCAGTTTTCCAAACCTATAGTTCGGTTAAGGTACTCAGAGGGGCCCCACTGACAGAGGTAGAAATGTGACAGAAGCAGGTATCTGTTTTTCATTCCTTAATCAATAGATAAAATAATTATTTTAAATTTCTTCCTTTAAAAAACAGAATTCCTTCAAAACTGTAAGTATATATTCAGTGAGCATATGTGGCCGACATCACAGCATGCTTAAGACCTAGTAACTTGGTTGATTTACCACATAGCTAAACACTGCAAGCCTGTGTTAGTCTTATTCTGCAGTTTAAATTACTGCCATATAACATTCAAAGTATCCCCATCTGAAGTTTGAAAACATTGACACTGACACATTTAAGTTAATGAGGTGCATAAAAACATTATTATAATTCTGTAAGTTTGCCTTGGAATATTCCTCCCGATCTATAGCACATAATGTTCAAGCAGCACAGTCAGGAGTCAGCTAACACTTCACAGCCAATGTCAAAAAAAGAAGATATGGTGGTCGTTATAATCAAATTGCCTTTTTAGTTCATTGAGAATTATACTGTGCACCTCGTCATGTATTACTTTTGGAGGACTCCTTGCAAGCAGCAGCCCCAAAACCTTCCTCTTAAAATTTAAAAACAAATCATAAGTTGATTTTTTACAAACACAAATGATAAGAATTTTACATATTAGGCATGGACTTATTTTAGATTCTGAAAACAAAATTTTTACCCCAAACTAAGACATGTCATTTAATATTTGTCAACAAATGCTTTTCTCCACACATAATTCATTCATGTTCAATTGAAAAATGACAAATAGAAAAGAGCAATTTTTTCTACAAATCTTACAAACATATTATATTATTTTGATAGAAATTATTTTAAAATATGAACCAAAAATAAATATTATAAAATTAAGAGTGCTTATTTGTCATGCACACAGAAAAATGACAGAATAATTATTTAAAGGTATATGTGAGATTATTTATGTCTAAAGGGGGTTATAAATAAAAGACAAGACAGATTAAGTCACTACCATTTATCTCCAGGATTCTTTTTTTTTAAATTTTATTTAAATATAAATGCACTTCGAAATCTAAGAATTCCCAATTCAAAAACATTTGTGATGCAGTTCATGTAAAATCTTGACCAAAAGAAGCTAATTTTCCACAAACTGTTTCCCCTTGTGCTCCCATGGTGCAGAAAATGGGTAGATATGTACCATTTCTATGAAGTCACAATTTGTCTGGCTCACACCTTCCTTGGTTTCAGAAGAGAAATTTTATGATTTGGTTTTAAGAGCCTTTTTAATGCTGAAACGCCCTCATTCATATGTCCTTAGGGCAGGCGGCTGCATCTACCCTCAAAGAGCTGCTGAGAGACAAAAACTAGGGACCAAGTAGACTTTTAATAAATATTCGTTTTCTTCCCTCTCCCACCCAAGCATACTTTGGTTGGTAGAAAACATAGATGATAATGTCACCAATACTCCATTAAGAGATGATATTGTTGTATGAGATTTTACATAAACATAAAAAGTATATCAACTATGTAACAATTCATCTCACCAACCCAATAAATATAATACTACCAGCCTCTGGTAGAGATTTTTGACAGGAATGAATAAATTGGGATCCTGAGACCAAAAACAAATATCATAGAACTGCATCTCCCAAACCAGTGCTCTGAGGGCATCTGGTCTGAGGACTATAAACAGCAGTTTACCCCCACACAGGTGTTTCCTACAGAATTATTTGGAGCCTTTAATTTGTCAAAGTACACTGAAAAACTCCAAAAGGGGATTTGGAATATTTCATGGGACCATGGTTTGCACAAAGCTAGTACCAACTCTGAATGCAACTCAGCTAACAATGCTGTATCAACAAACACAGGACCCCACAAAAGCAAATCAAAGGAAACACAAGACTTAAATAGTCAGTGTCCAGGCGGAAGGTAAGGATGGGCATCTTTTCACTCTAAGGCTGCATTATTCTGCCCTCTGCGCAGTACTGACCTCATGTACCTTCCGCCCACAGTGCCAGCACAGTTCCACGCACTTCAGAGACAGGCCTCAAATGAGAAAAGAAAGCCCCGCTGGAGAAAACTTACCGTAGCAGCTCTCACAGGCTCGCCCTAAGAGGGGATTCTGCGGCTGGAATGTGGTTCCCACGGCCCCATTCACAGTACCAGGTTTGCCATTGCTGGTGGATATTTGGTTGGGATTCGGTTTGCTGCTTCCAATGAAATGTAAAGTAAGGTCATAAAAATGACTTGTACAAATAAGGCAAAGGCTCTACACTTCATTACTGATTTATCTGAATTACACATAAATAAATCTGAATGCTTGGTGAAGAAGAAATACACTGGTAAAAGTGAACCCAAACCATTCATCTTTATAAAACAAGGCTATGTACAAACCGATCTCTTATGCCTGACACTCACAAAATAAATACAGCCATCTCTCTTCTCCACACAAATACAATTTCCTTAGGACACCCTCTGATTATTTTGAAAAATACAAGTTATTAAGCTGTATTAGCTATCACAAATTCTCCTGAGAACATAAAATACTTTTATGAATCATATAAATGAAGCCGAAGGCGATGTGCTGTGTTCAGAGGAAGGCACTGTCCTGGTCCTGCTGACTCCTGAGGGAACTTACAAAAGACCATGATCAACACAAACACTGGCTGTCAATGGGGCATATCCAGAGTTAAGTCAGCATTTCAGGAGACTTTGTTCATGGTAGTAATTTCTATTATGTTTGAACTTTTATGAAGATTACATAGCATTGGAAAGTAGAGGTTTTTCTCTTCAAGAAAAAATTTTAGGAGGAAAAGAGTGACATCATCAGAAGTGTACGTGCAAATTTCCCAGCGCCATAATTCCCCAGAAACATGTACCCCAGATTACCTTCTACTTGCTGTGCAAACATGGCTAATTTGTCCCCATCTAGGGTAGGCTAACTCCCCAGCTTATAAGCCATGACCGAGGATACTGCACAGGTATATATAGTATGTCCTCAATAAACTCATAATTCACTTAACATGTATTTATTCAGTACCTGACTTCAAGGAACGTTCACGTCTATTTGGGAGAAATAAATGCTGAATGACTATAACTTCCCATGATTACTAAAGTAATGAGTGGTCACAACTATCAAGACACTTGGCGTTTCCACACAGAGTTGGTTCAGGAGTTTCCTCTTTGCTGTTTTTCATTCCCATAGTTCCAATTACCAGCAAAAGCCTAGTATGTAAACTTGGCCTGACAGCAAATTAAGATTTCTTCCTGGCATTGTTACTGTAACTCTTGGTGACACCCATCACCACCCCCAGATGAAATCATTGAACCTCTGAGTGCTCTGAAGTCCCTATTCTATATACAGGGCTATTATTTACACTTTAACCTGTGCCAGCAATGTGTTTGGAAGACAAATTGGTTTTAAAAAACACATTTTAAGCCAGAAAGAATGTATTTCTCTTCTTATAGTTTTCATGTGGAAATGTACAAAATGAAAAGTGGTAATTTAGAATGATTAAGATGTCCAAGAGATATAATATTTCTGATTTTTAAAAATCTATTATAGCTAATAGACATGATGGCCCCTTGAAATTAAATGACTTCCCCAAAATATGAAAATTTCTGATATTTAACCCTGGGCTAAAATATATGTGTTGAAAAAGAGCTAATATAAATTTACAGTTGAACTGCCTGAAAAAAAGAACAAGAGTACATACAACTTTAGTTCCTCACCTGAATCTAGAACGTTATTTGACTGAATAAACTACTGACCTTAATATTATAATAATTGCAAAAGGAAAACAAGTGTTCAAAGGCTGAATATACGTAAACATGTGAATCACTTAAACTATGTTTTGCAAAACCAAGTACCTGCAGGTTAATTCAGGGCACAAATGACTGAGGTCAATGTGACCATCCAGATAAACTTTTACTCTAAGAAAAACATGAAAGATGTTTTAAAGTCACATTATATGAAACTGTCCTTTTATCTGATGCCAAAACCTTTCCTCCCCCATCAGTGCTCCAGATTCTACCCCTCCATCCTCTTGAGAACTTTGTTCCCTTGATTCTCCTTCCTGGACCCTCCTCATTAACATATAATGTATTTCTCCTATTTTAAAAACTCTCCCATTTCTCTATCCCAACCTACCCCCCAAAGCCGAGAACTTTCTCTCGACTGCCCTTTGCAGCCAGGTTTCTTGAGAGCTGCAACCTTCAGTGTCTGCAGCACCGTGGCTCTATGCAGTCCTCACCACGGCATTAAAGATCACCGATAACTTCTGTGATGCTAAGTTCCCTGGCTATTTCTCACCAGCATCTGACACTGTTGATCTCTTTCCCTCCTTGAAACCCACTCCTCTCTCAGCTTTAATGATAATAATGCACTCACCTTGCTATTCTTTTTTAGCTTTCATTCTCTATCTGTATCTGACATATAAATACTAGATTTCCTCAAGCTTGGTCCAAGGCATTTTTTTTCTTATTGATTCTCCTATGAAATCTCATACATAGTTTAAAACACAATGATATATGCTGATGAAGCTCAAATTTGTATCTCTAGCCCAGAACTTTCCCCTCCAATATATCCAACAATATATTCAACACCTCTGTGGACACAACAAACTCAAAATGACCTAGACCTAACCTGGTTCTCCACCACAGTTTCTTAGCTTGGTGAATGCACTTTTCCTTTGATATGACAAACATTGTAAAGTTCAAGAAAGCTGGTATGCCTGCTTTTGAAAATCTGAGACAGATGATATATTATTATAGTGATATAATGGGAAGCTATTCTTTTGGGGAGTTATTCTTTTGTAAATAACTCAAATAAACTATATAAAATTTAAAAATATTAGAAACCACTCTGCAGAAGGGACATTATATCTCTGAATAAAAATTATGGGCCCCATAAATTACATATTATCTGTCTTGAGATAAAACATTAGTAAGATGCCTGGCCAGTGTAGCGCAGTGGTTTGGAGTGTTGTCCCTATACCAGAAGGTTATGGGTTTGATTCTCGGTCAGGGCACATACCCAGGTTGTAGGTTCGATCTCCTCTTTCACATCAATGTGTGTGTGCATGTGTATGTCTCCACCCAACCACACCCTGGCTTCTGTCTCAAATATCAATAAAGGCATACCCTTGGGTGAGGACTTTAAAAAAAAGATTAGTAAGAAATATTACAATTCATTCCTATGAGGCCTCTTATACTAGTATATAAAACTGTCTTAATGTATCAAAATTCAGTAAACAAAAGGCTAAGTATAAAGGCAACTGTACTGAGCTCACAGAGTAAGAAAAATCTTGGAGCAGTACATAGAACTTTGTAGTAAATTTCATTATTATTCCTAAAGAACTTAGGATAGCACTATATATATGGTGCTCAATAAACTAAATTTTTCTGAACAAATGAATGATTGAAATCCAAAGATCTCAAGAAAAAGATTATAATTCATTTAAAACATAGCATATGAAAAGAAAATTGGCATCCATGTTGATATAACAATGTTTTCTAACTCCAAAGGAAAACAATGATAGAATGCTAAGCCAAAACAATAAAAAGTTATTCACTATTTATCCAACATATACAAAGTATGATTCCAATTACTTTCCCTAACCCTAGCCCTAAGCAAATAATATAAAATTATCAACTAAATAAACAACATGCCTCAAAAGGGCAATGTGCATTAACCAAAAAAATCCATTCTACCACATACAAGTTTCATGAGTTGGTAGCTTTCTGAAATACATTTGCTTTAAACAATAGTTTCATAGGTTAGTTTCCTAACACTTTCCCCACAGCTGTGACAGAAGTACAATTTAGGGACATTCTTTCTCTAGTCCTTTTGTTGTCTACGTGGTATTTTTCCTACCAGCCATTTTTCTCTCTAAAAATATTACTATAGTGATATAATGGGAAGCAAGTCTCATGCTTTGTAGTGGAAGAAAATAAGATACACAATGAATTCAAATTTGACTGGAACTGACCAAAATGACATATTTTGTTTTGATAGAATTAATACCATGACAAATATTTTAAAAGATTTCCATTACTTACTAAGTTGGGATATACACTTGTTTCAGTTTACTCTCTGCTTCTGCTGCTTTTAGACGTTTCTAATTCAAAAGATACATAAAATATTTTACATACAATGCTTAGCAACTATTACCACTTCATTGTTTTAAAAAATCCACAAGAAAATGAATTTAAAGCATAATTCAAAAGTTGCCATTTTAAAATGTGCATATAAGCTGCAGTAATTTCTAAGAAAAGTCACTAGATTCTGAGAAACAGAACTGTAAGTATTAATAACGTTTTAGACATAGATTTTAAAAGTAAAGCAATGAACAACTCCGTCCCCCACATGAGTGAATAAACAGGACTTGTAAGTAACCGTTTTTACTTTTCAAATTTATTTTCTACCGTATTTCTTCTTTTGGTTTTCTGGGAGGAAAAAAAACACACATCATCTTTACTTTTAGAAAAATATTCAGAGGTGATTAGTTTTCAAAGTCCATGCAAAAGAAAGAGATAGTAACTATTCTAAGTACAATTAAATAAGCATTTACCCTCAAATGTTGGGAGGTATGCAGTATACTTTATAGCTTGGCTGAACTCACATCAGATTTTAGGAACCAATTAGGAGCCAAATGCAGGAAAAGGAATGGGAAAAAGATTATGTAGTCAAATCCAGAAACTGATCAACACAACATGAATGCAAATAGGGAAGGAAAATAATATATGGTAGATATAAAAAATAAGATAAACCAAATTATTTCTCCTCATTTTCTCAATGAGAAGTAAACAAAAACATTTAGGGGGACAACTTAAAACTTTTAGGGACGGAGTTGAAATTTCTGAAAAGAATTTTATCCAAATATTTTCAACCATCCTTGAGCAATCATCTCCACCATCTTTGGGGACTCTTTCTGCTTTGAGAAACAGTTTTCAGAACACCTGGTCTTCATTTCTATTTACCTAAATTGTTTCAAATAAGCCCTTTTTAAATTATACATGATGTTGATTCTGGAAATGTTTCAATAAGCCATGGGTGGCTGGCTATTCACTATTCATGATCTCAACAACTCACTATGGCAATTTTTAAAGTGATCCTTAAAATGTATTTTTATAGCATCCAACACTTGCCACTGTGCAATCACATACTTAGGAAAAATAATGTCTGTGTTAAATATATTTGCCCCTTTCCTTACCAGTTCTGACATGAGACTAGAAGAATATAAAAACAAGTACTGACTGGGGTCACTTCGGGAAAATGTGCCTTTTCCCAGGAAATAGTGCTCGAAATAAGTAACTGAGAGAGTTACCTCAATTTGGGACATGTAGGAAGGAGTCAGAAACAAATCATTCCCTGCATCTAGAAATAACTTCGGATAAAAATTTATGTACAGTACACCAAGGCATCAAACTAGTAAGACTAACTTTACAGTTAAAAGATTTAGGAGATATATCCACACAAATGGCATTGGTCTAAATTTTCAATATGTAAAAATAAGTTGCTCAAAAGGTGTGTGCTAACATCACATCTTAGGGCATTCCCTCCAAGTATACTCACAAAGAGATGAGGCACCAGGCACCTGCAAGGAAAACACTGCCTCTCTAGCGGTACCTTCCCTGTTGTCCTTCCAAAATAGCTATCATAATAAATTCTGAAGTAAAAAAAAATATATTAAGACTAAAATCTTAAAATAATATCTTAAGGATATGAAATCATGCAGTTTAAAATAGTCTAGAAAAGATAAAGCAAACAAGACAAATTTTAAATTAAGTATATTGCTAAGAAATATTAAAATGTAAACAGAAAGTTCACTTTAATGCAATCATATTGGTAGTGATATAAAAAAATTACCTGCTGCACGTATCTGTCAGTAGTTTTCCACATGTAATAATATTCAATGATGCTAGTCAATGATTTCCAAGGGAGCTGAAAATATATTTAATATGACAATAAAAACAAGCTACTATAGCAACTGCTTTCCTTTAAAACTACTACTTTAAAATAATGAGTCAAATATCCACATAGAAGATTCATCCAGTTTATGAAAACTGCAATTAATTCTTAGCAAAGGGTATCCCAAATAAGTTATATTCAGTTAGGACTAATATAACACATTTCCTTTCTACTTCCCGTTTTGCTAAAAATTATAAACTTTATGACTGATACTATTTTATGACTTACCCAGGAATACAAATTTTAGAAATGATATTGAAATAGATCTAGCCAGTAACTTAAACTTCCAAAGATGCCAGCTACCATTGGGTGGCGTGTGGTCTGTGACATACTTCCCATCCTTTAAAAAACTGCTCTATATTGACTTATTTTTGTTGTAAAATAAATTTAAAAAAATCTCAGAAGAAAAACATAGTCAAGTGTGGTTCATACTAGAAAAACAGAAAGCTTGTCTTTGATATTTTTCATTATTCAAAAACGGTCACATGAGCTCCCACACATGAGACCCACAACCAAAGAATATATTCAGTATGTCCTTTTGTAAAGGGAGATTTGTTAGTCATTCAAGATGCAAATCAGGGCAGATCAACTTTCAAACAAAATGACTGATAACATTCACAACTTTTAACTGTAGCAGCAGACTTTTACAGATAGGTGACTCAGCACTCCCTCTGACTCCCATCTTGCTGTCCCTAATGCACTATCGGGTGAGAGAATTAAAACAGTACTTCCTAAACTCAGTGAGTTATATAATGTCTAATTACTGGGTTGTATACCTGAAACCAACATAATATTGTATGTCAACTGTAACTGAAAAGGAAAAAATTATTTAGTCAAAGAAAAAATAATAGTACTTCCCAGACTGCCAGTAGTTTCCCACATGTACTAGTAAAACATCTTTGCCATTCCTATCACCTGCACATTTAATTCACCTATCTGATCTGAAGTAAAAACAGATGGAGTTTAGGGAAAGGAACTTATTTTAAGTTTAATTGGGTGGCAATTACAACAGTAATTACAAATATGGTCTTGCAGGACCAAATCTGCTCAGTCACTGGCATTTGCATTACAACTAAAGCAGTTTTCTCCAATCCAACAAGCAATCTAATGGATTTGAAAGGGTCTGAGGGATGGTTTAAGGAGCTTATGACATGACCAAATAGGGTGAGACCGCATGACAGTTACTGGCAGAGTCCCCTAAGGTTTTACGTAAGCTAAAAACTCTTCATCTCTTAATTATTATTCTTTTGAGAAATAACCCCCTGACATACAATTACCTGGAAACCTGGAAACCAAGGGACCATGTAACCTGAGCTTCATCATGAGCCAGACTTTACCTAACGGTAAACCAGGAAATCCTAATCAGGCATGTTCAGCACCACCACTCCCTTATCAAGAAGAAGAGGAGGTCATGAACACATGAGAAACATGCCCTAGTATGTCTACTCCTAATGCAGTATCATTTCTTCCTCAACTCTCACTTATGGCTTCATGGGAGTTCCTAGGACATGTCAATTTAAGAGGAAAGAAATCTGACTGTGGCAGATGGCTTTGCACGATATACTGGCAACAAGTAGAACTAGCCTACTCCTGCATTTCAGCCCCAAGCAGGAGTGGCTCTAAAGCACAGTAAAGAAGGTAGATCCTTTTGGAGGGTGGAATATTAGAGTAAACATCTGGCTTTCTACTTTGAGTTGAAGGAGAGATGGCCAGAATTACTAATCCATACCCATTTGTGGGCAGTGGTTATTCACTTGTTACAATGATCAGAGACTTGAAAGAAATCAGATTAGAATATTGGTAACAATAAGGCTTAGAAAAGAGGTTTATGGGACAGACCTGAGTGTGAGGATATTTGTGTCCTCATGCTTACTCATAAGTTCCCTTTGCAGAAAAATTCTCATTAATATCAGGTGGATAAAGTTATCTCCTCTATGATGATCAACCAGACTCTTTTCCTAACCACACCAATACTCAAAGGATACAAAAACAAGTGGACACAGAGGCAAGGAGACAGAGATTACACATGGGTGCTACACGGGATGTCCTCTCACCAAATCTGATCCAATTACTCCAGGTGTCCAATCTGCAAGGAACGGAGTACACTGGGCCTCCCATTCCTGGTAACATGTCAGTTACATTAAACTCTCAGCATCATAGAATAGCAGCCATCTGTTCTCATTGAACAGACTATTATTCTAAATATGATTTGCCTTTTCTGCCTATAATGCATTAGCTAGCAAACCACCCACAGACTTATGAAAGACTTATTCCCACAAAATACTGCTTCTAACCAGGGCCCAGAACCCTGAAAAAATGAAGTTTGGGTCACCCTACCAGATTAAGAACTGTGATTATTAAAAGTACTGAGGGGAAAAGAAGAGTGAGGGAAGTCGATTTTGAATGCCAATGAAGTCCTCAGAATGAGTTTCAAAAACAGAGAAAAAGACGACTAAAGAAGTCATCCATATTTCCCTCCTTGCTTGGTATAATTATTTCCCTCCTGCACCCCAATTCCCTTTCTATTTTTTATAAGGTCTGTTGTTGATGATTTTACCATTATAATTTAATGTAGAAGCTACAAGCTGGGTTGTGACTAAAATCAGAGGAAGACTAAACATCAACCAGAGATGCTATGACAGTAAATTTGTGCCTCCCCATTTGAAGAAATGGTACCACATTTTCCGATGATTCAGGAATAATTACTACTGTTTAAAAGTTGATATATGGAAGGAAGCAGGTACAGAAAGCAAGTATGAATGATTAGTCAAAGGTGGCAGATACTATACATCCACTTCCAAACCACTTCTAGCTCATTTTCCTTGAAACCCTAAACTGTATTTTCCCCAGATACCCTTGAACAAAGGTGCAGACTAATGGGCTATGTTAGCCAAACTGACAAACCTGAATGACATTTAGATACAGAAGTGAGCAACATCAAAATGAGGCTGCATGCAGGGAGATTGGATAGTTTGGCAAGAACAATGGTTGAGATATCATGTTCTTCTGGGCCATCTCTGTTGACCTTTCTCAACTGAAGCTTGAAATCATGGGTGCCAAGCAGCAGAGGGCATGGGTGTTTCCAATGTTCCTGAAAAGTATAGCATCCAAGCCTGGTTCTATAGTCCTCCAGAGATTCTATGAGAACTTAATATCCTACATTCCTTTCTGCTGATATTAGATATAGTGAATTCTGAACTTAGCAACTAAGAACTCTAAGATAACCCATACCTTTATTCTTTATTCTAAACTAGGTGAGGATGAGTTTCCCTCACCCATAATCAAAAGCACTCTAATACAAAAATTGGTAAGAAGTGAAGTGCTTGAAGAATAGACCCTAGAGATGTGGCATTTATTGACAGAATCAAAGTGAAAGCAGAAACTGAGCAAGACTGGTGGCAGAGGCAGCAGTCTTTGTAGTGAGGTTCCTGTTAGAACACTGCCATTGTGGGGTGCTCTTGGCTTCACAAGTCCTGGCTGTGAAGCATCTAAACCTGAATCCCTGGAAACTCCTAGAGCAGTGGTTCTCAACCTTCCTAATGCCATGACCCTTTAATACAGTTCCTCATGTTGTGGTGACCCCCAACCATAAAATTATTTTCACTGTTACTTCATAACTGTAATTTTGCTACTGTTAAGAATCGTAATGTAAATATCTGATATGCAGGATGTGTTTTTATTGTTACAAATTGAACATAATTAAAGCATAGTGATTAATCACAAAAACAATATGTAATTATGTGTGTGCTTTCCGATGGTCTTAGGCGACTCCTGTGAAAGGGTCGTTTGACCCCCAAAGGGGTCGCGACCCACAGGTTGAGAACCGCTGTCATAGAGGTTCTGTAAGCCTTCTAACACCCTATAATAAATTTCTTCCTCCTTAAACTAGCTCACTCAAATGGATTCTGTCATTTCCAATTACAGTTTGTTCAGTATCCTTTCCAACTTCCTTGTAGTTTCACTTTCCTATAATGTAAAGATCAGAAATCCAAACATATTTCCAAGACTCCCTTGTGATTTATTTCTTCCAATCAGATGTACCGTATGTGTATAAGACCTAAATTCCGAAGTGAAGTAAGCAGGGTTAAGAGAGGATGGTGCACCAGGCAATTACTAGTATTCTGCTGCATTGAAGAAGCACAAAATGGTTCTAGAGCCCAAAGCTCTGCTAGTGGTTTCCTGATCCCAACATCAAGGTGAAGTAGTGTGATCCTGGAGCAGAAGTTAACCCAGCAGCTTCCCAGTTTCCATATGGGGCAGAGGTAGGAGCTCACTCGCTGGGCCATTTCTGTGGGATTGTTTTGAAACCTAGCCTGGGGCCTACTTCTCCAACCCTCTCAATGATTTTAGCAACAAATTTCCGAATTTATATCCCATTCTGTTCATAATAGCTACTGTGTTTTTGTTATCTGGAACAGCTAGGAAATATTTTTGTTAAACTGACTTGATTGCATGAAGAAAGAAAGACCTGGCTATTTTGAACTTCGAACTTTATAGGTTACTTTACATATTTCAGGTTCTGTTTCTGTTTAGGTTTAGGATATAGAATTCCACAGGAGAATGTCATTCCTACCCTAAAAATTAGGGGGGGAAAAAGATAATCTACAAAAACTTTAACAATTTGTGAGTCTATCTTAAAGCTAAGGTTACAAGACAATCAACTGAATTCCAAAATCATTCTGAAGAGACACAGGACTCATGAACTACCTTTACTTTGGCAGAGCATAAAAGAAACAGGTGACCAATAAAAATTAAAGTAAGAAGAACACAAAAAATTTACCAAAGGTCAACAGTGGGCTACAACAACTGTTTAACAGAAGAAAGTTCTAGACCAGCCGTGGGCAAACTACGGCCCATGGGCCGGATCCGGCCTGTTTGAAATGAATAAAACTAAAAAAAAAAAGACCGTACCCTTTTATGTAATGATGTTTACTTTGAATTTACATTAGTTCACACAAACACTCCATCCATGC